TGTGTGGAGTACATAAAGCACGATGTATGCTTTGCTTCCATATTCATGTTGATGTTGACAAGATGTTGAAAATTTCCACAAGGCCAGTTTTTTCGTACTCAGAGCATCAGTTGGGGTTGTTACCAGGACCTAATGTCTTAACAGACAACAGAGTAAATTCATATACCTCGCTTTTATATGCTAATGAGACACATGCAGATATTCTAGGAACTGTTCGGACAAACACAAGTGATTTACGTTGAGATGTACTAGACTGTTCAACACAGTGGGTGGAGCCAAAAGATCATGGGGATGCATGCGTGCATGCGTGTAGTGCTTTTGAATATATTTACCTTTTTGCTCATTTGTGTGACTTTTACCCATTCACTTTAGCTCTTTGGGACCTAGGGCTGTCCTGAGGACAGTTAATGAGCCGTGTGAAAATAAGCAGTGGTGCATATACTCCAATAGGATTAACAGGGGAGCGGCAGAGAAGGAAAGGACTTCTACAAAAGGGGTTACTAGAGCAATGTTCCAGTGTGTTGAAATTCATTAATATTTTCAGGGCTTGTTTGTACAACAGCTGAAATACTTGACCTCCAGTAAATTTGGGGCTGTAGCTCTTAACTGATAACCAGTGCACTGCAAATTGGAAGGAAACAGTGTCCCGAGATATCAAAACCATTCCAGTTAAATTTTTCTTGGATTGCAGCTCCTCTTTGAAATCAGCGTTTCTCCTCCTTCGTAATGGCCGGTTTTCTCCTCGATGTAAACAAACAAATTCACCCGGAAATACCATCCACATTTGGCTACGGCTATCCTACTTAGCTGTCTCAGCATCGCAGACGGTTTCAACGAAGTGTATACGGACGAAGTTAACGATATGAAGGGAAATAAAAGAAGCACTGCCCAGACCCAACCAAGCTTAGAATAATACATGTCAAAGACACTTCTCTTGTTCGAGAGATAGGACTGAGGAGGGGGTAGAAAATCGTGGATGAATAAACCTGTTAGTACAACAAACCATTAAAAGGCTACTTTTAAATGTGTTGGCATAAGAACCACTGACATCACAGAAACCTTCCAAGTAAAGATTCATGGAACTTTTCCAAATTCCCCCAACCTGCTGGTCAGTGGCCATTTTAGTTTTCGGCAATTTTTTCTCATCCTGCCGGTCAGTGGCCATTTTGGCTTTTGGTAGAATTCTCTCAACCTGTTAGTCAGTCGCCATTTTGGTTTCTGCTAAAGTCCCCTCATCCTGTTGGTCAGTGGCCATTTTGGGTTTTGCTAAAATTCTCTCATCCTGTTGGTCAGTGGCCATTTTGTTTTTTGCTAAATTATATACATGAAAAAATTTCTCAGTTCTGATTGGTTTAAGATGAATGCAGTTTTCAATTAATTCAGTGCAGAAGAGAGTTAATTCAGTGCAGAAGAGGGTTAATTCAGTGCAAAGACAGAAACAAACCAGACATTTGCCTAACTGTTGCTGGTACTGTCTACCACCCACAGTTAGGCGTTAACAATAGTGGTTTGCTTAACCACCTTACTACTACACTGACTGACATTGTGGGCCAGTATCCCGGTTGTGGTATATTCGTGTGCGGCGATTTTAATCGGTTGAGCCTTAGCCGCCTCACATCGCAGTTCAAGTTGAAGCAAATTATTGATAAGCCAACGAGAGGCGATAAAATACTGGACCTCGTTTTGACCAACTTGTCACATACGTATGACGAGAACGCTGTTTACACCCTGCCACCGTTTGGTCTTTCAGACCATAACGTGGTCATCGTCCGCACTAAAAAGAGGCCATCCCGCGCTGGGCCTAGCAGTAAGTTAATTTCGAGGCGCGACACACGTGCTAGTAGGAAAGCCGAACTAGGACGGTTCTTTTCAGCCGTTGATTGGTCCATTTTGGATTCTGCCCCTAACAATGATGATCGCTCTAGACAACTGTGTGACATCATCACTGCAGGACTGGACGCTATCATGCCCGCAGTGAAATCTAAGGTTCATCTTAATGACC